GGCACCAAGATCGTCGTCGTACCCTCCATAACCGCCATCGCCACCAAGACTATGTTCACCGGAGCTAGAAACTCCCAATCGCCCTAATATGAGAGATAATACCACGTCGGGTGTATTACTAGGTGGGCATGTTGGAGAAGTACCCTTGGTGGTCGAAGATATGTGTTCTTTTTTGTGCTTTTTTTCGTTTTTTTTTAGTGAATTCCAAAGTTGAGTTTGGGGGGGTTAAGGAATTCAGTTTGTAGGGTATTTGGGGGATTTGGTGGGTTTTGTGTGTGTGGGTTTGGAAAGTAGGGTGAGGAGAAAAAGAAATGACATTTTGTTTTGGAGGTTTTGGGGTTGGAGAGGATGATGTGGATAAGAAGAATGTGGGGTTAATTTGGATGTTTTGGTTGAGATTGGAGTGGTTTGAAGTTTGGATGATCGTCAATGGAGGTTGAGGGTTTGAGTTTGGGAGATTAGGGAAGAGAATGGGTGTTTTGTGGGCTGATTTGGGGAAAATTGAACTGAAATCTCAATTACCCGGCCGGGTTTTAGTAATACCCGAATGGGTATGCTGTTTTTCGCTTGGCAGAACGTTTTTAGGCATAATACCCGGTCGGGTTTTTGTGATACCCGGTCGTGTATTAGGTCATTTTTAAAAAAAACGTTTTTCTTTACCCTATCGACACCCGAATGGGTTTCCTTTCCAGAGGCATCTTTGCCACAATACCCGGTCGGGTTTTGGGTAATACCCGGTCGAGTTTTTCCTCAGACCTCTAAAAAACCTTTTTTTTAATTTTTTTGTGTTTTTTTTACTTGAAAAGTGCAAAATTAAATAAAACAAGTAAACGTACCTTACATGGGTTGCCTCCCAAGAAGCGCCTTATTTAACGTCGCGGCACGACGCCATCATTGTGTTCAATCGTTCAAGCTTGGATCGTGATAACTCATCTTCTTCAAATTTTCACCCGGGTGACTCTTATAGAAAGACTCAATTTCTCAACCTTTTATTTTGACATTCTTTCCGAGATCAAATATCCGGATTTCAATCTCTTCATATTGTGAGAGTGAGGGTTCATGATTTTCATTAAGCATGGTCAATGGAAGGGGTTTTGATCCGGGTGGTATAAGAGGGAGTATGAAATATTTGTGTAACTCCACCGTTATTCCTTGCTTATTTGTGAACAAAGAGAAGTCTAAATTATACTCACAATTGCTGAAGATTTCATAGATTTCCCTTAGAGCCTCAGGAAATGGTGGCATGATCTCAGTAATGGCCGGTGGTTGAGTTGAGTTTTGAGGTTCCTCCTCCCGTTGAGCTTTCTCCGTAAGCTCCTCTTCTTCCTCCTCCTCGCCCATGTGGTTCACAATGTTTGGCATTTGTTTCAACTGATTGTCCAAGTTCTGTTCGTTGGACACTGCTTCTTGCGGGCATTGTGACATATTTTGTTGCATATTTGTCACATTGATAGTGAGACCTCGGATCATGTCTTCAGTAGATATGCTGGAATAAGAACTTGAGTATGGGTTATCTATGTTGGAGAATGAATCATACCTCTCTTGGAAGTCAACATCATTCCTTTGTTCAAAGTATTCTTTTTGAAGCTCTGGGCAAAAATCCGTAAGATGCCTGTGTGACATGCAAATGTGGCATGTATTGACATCTTGAGATTTTGAACATGAAATAAACTCCTTTATTAGAGAAGTCAAGTCGTAAATTTGACTCTCTAGGGGTGATGTGTTTGTTGGTATCCATATACTCATGAAAGCTCAGAAAATAGAAAAGTAAGATTTTTATTTATTTATTTGTTTTTGTTTTTTTTTTGTTTTTGATTTTTATGAGATAAAATAAAAAGAAAAATAATTGCCTTTCCCCGGCAACGGCGCCAAATTTGACGAACACTTTGTCACGGTGCGTCAAAATAAATTCAACACTAGCATTAATACGTAGTATAGGTGAAATAGAGTTCGTATCCACAGGGAAATGAATAATTCTCTTTTTATGAAACTAGTAAATAAAAAGGGGGTTTTGGGATTGAATGATTTAATTTAAAAACTAAGATGAACAACCTATATGTGTTTTAATTCAAAGATAAAAGAACTTGTCATTGCTATTTTCCACTTGTTGATATATTTTAGTCGATCATCGTTATATCTATAACTTTGTCCCTCTCGAATACTCAATCGAGGAGTATATCCAATTCATCGAGGGTAGTTATTAACAACGACCGTTCATTAATAACCCGTACTATTAGTCAAGTATAGAACATAGCCATATACCGACTTGATAGTAGCATTTAATCTTTTAACTCTTTGATGAAATCAATTGAGATTGATAACCTCAACACAACGGTTTCAGTTTAACCAACAAAATTAATCCCTCTTAAGTTTATCAACCACGACCGTGCATTAATAAACCGATTTACTTACTTGTGAAGCCATCAAAGATTAACCATCGGTTCGTCGATCGTTTCTAGTAATAATTAATATATGAAACAAAACTAGTTGATCTTTTAAGTAATGTTAAAAATATTAATATGAAATATGAATAGGAATTAATTAATATTCAAGGAAAAATATTATTAAAGGAGATGAATCCTACTATAATTAATATCAAGATGTTAACTAATTGTCATCTTAGCAACACTCCCCAACATTAATATAGAGTCAGAAAATACTACTCTAACTAATGTCAAGATGTTAACTAATTGTCATCTTAGCAACACTCCTCAACATTAATATAGAGATAGTATTAAGGAAAGAACTAATAATTAATATTCAAGGGAAGAAGTTAAGAAAATAACTCACAACTTTAATAATCAACAAGCTTCAAGAGCAACACCAAGAATGGAAGTTTAGCTCCTCATTTGGAGACTAAACATAGCGAGAAAAATATAAAGAAATGCTATTCTAAACTGAGCTTAAGAGTATGGAAGAAGGGATGATCAAAAGTGAAGGAAAATGAAGTTATTTATAGGTGTTTTCAACACCTAATGCCGGATACCCGACCGGGTATTTGACAGTTTTGCAGCAATTTCCTTTGTCACTTCATACCCGGCCGGGTAAAGGCCATACCCGACCGGGTTTTACATAAAACTCAAGTTTCTTCATCCTTTTTGCTTCCAAACTTATCCTAAACTTAAAGCCCAACTAGCTACAACTTACAACACACAATAAAATGCTAGAAATACAATTACAATCAAATGCAACCTAACGAACTACAAACTTGCACAAAACTAGTAAATAAACATTACAAACAATAATAAAAATGTATACTTAGGCACTAACAACTAGTGCCTATCAGTACACGATAAACTTCTTGTAAACACTAGCTGAACCAGAAAGTGTTCTTGGTCGAAACGAACACAAACGTGAGAACCAAATATGCACTCGGGGCTTTGTGTGTTATTCGATGTCCATGTCACTGACGGTTCAAAGCAAATTGCTTACCAATTGTCCGGTAAATCTAATGGATATACACTAAGGTAGGTTCAAAGTTTCACGACTACCTAACCCTATGTAGAGTTCCCGTCTTCCTCGTTCAAATTCCAATTAGTTTCTTGTCTTTAAGTCATCTCATTCATATGGGGGACTGTTGAAAAAATGGTTTTACAAATTAATATTGTAGTCACTTTGGAGTTAAAATATGTATGGGATCCATATCTCTATTTTAAGAGGACTGTGTCCTAACATATCGTACTCCAAGAGATGAACGTTTACACATATTATTTGTATAAAATCATTTTAAAATGAATGAGAATTTATCCCCATTTACGACTTTAAGATAATATTTATATTTTTTGTTTCCAATTTCGGATAAGATTTGCCAATAGACACGAGCTTTATAATGGTTTCAGGTGTCTTTTGGTTCAGATATGTTATCCTGGTTAGAGAACTCTATAAATATGTCTTCTTGCCTACGATATTAAGATCCAAAAAATTATAATTCCAATTCCCTTCTTTCTCCCATCCGCTATTCCACTAGCATTGCATCTTTGAGTTCGTCGGTGTCCTTCGGGAACGCAGAAATCGATATATCCTGGGAGACGAATTCCACTTGTGTCGTGGTCAAATTCGTTTTAATGACACAACTATTTTTTGGGCTCAGTTTCATCCAAGTATTTTTTGTTTTCTTTTATTTAATTAATACATGCATATTATATGAAATTTATCCTAGAGAACGACACACTTGTTCAATCGTAGCTAAAATAATTTCTTTATACTTGATTAGTTGTTTGTTTAATTCCAAAAGCGCATTGTTAAATTAGTTAAGGCCGGTTGCAATCATACATTGCTTCCATAAGTTATCTTCTTTTATATATATATATATATATATATATATATATATATATATATGAACAAACTTAAGGTGTATGATTGACGAACTTGAATTATTATCGAATTTATGTCTCTGTACAAATATTTGTTGTGACACTGAACCAGCTCAGATCTCAATCACCATATCCTAAGAGCTAGTTTACATTTCACCACCAAGGAGTCAACAGGGAAGACGAAAGGGCAACTGTCTCAACACTCCGTTTAGGAGCCCACCGCCACCCCCAGGCCAGACTACCCAGAGAACCCACCGGAGAAAATTCCCCAAACTACCAGACCAGAGTGAAGCCCACCGAAGGATCCCCAAGATATCACTGGAGGGTAGCAGGAGCTCAGACCCAAGGTGATATCAGCACTTTCTCACTCTAGAACTAGGAAACACTCAAGGCCTCTCGTCAGGTAGAGAGAGGGAAGGGTCGAACACTAGGAGGTTCCGGAAGGAACCAGACAATATATCAAAGGGTCACATAATGTCACGGGCTGGGCAAACACAAAAGGGGGCAAGTGAGTTTGATCGGGTACACAGCCCAATTGGGCCAGAATTAATTAATAGGAGATCAGCCTATTAATGAGGTGGACCAAAGGGCATAGGAGGTGGACCAATACCAACTTACAAATATGAAACGTAAAAGAACTCCATTACCCAAGCAAACTATTGAAGACAACTAAACAAGTTTGAATCTGCCTTATCTTAGAAGAGAAGTTAAAGGAAGCTGGGCTGATTTCAATGTCTACTATATAATGTACACGTTAAAGAGAGATTACAATCCAAGGATAATCCATCCTCATATAAGCAACAAAACTTAATTATTCCCCTCACTAGCTAAATTGAATATTAAACACACAATAAACTTTAAGAGAAACAAAACCTACTTAATATATATTCACAATTTCCCATCATTAAGTAAAAGCATGTAGCTAACTTAGTAACTTAGCCCCCACTCAAAGCAGCAGCCAAATTCCCAACTCTGAAACCATAATGCCTCATCCCAAAAACCTCTCTGCACTTGAATGAAATTTCTGGCCTTGGGGAGAATCCAACCCTTCTTGAAGAAGTAGAAGAAGAATCCTTTATGTGATCAACTGCTGAGATCCAATTGGTTGTACGCTTATAAGAACTGAACCACTTGGCTTGCATGTATGAATGCCTTCTCCATGGAGGAACATGAATCCCCATTTTCCTCATTGATCTCTTTATCTCATTGCTCATTATCCTTACAATCTTCTTCAGCTCATCCGTCTTCCCCGCGTACACATTGGGGAACACTTCCAGCAACGAACTGTATCCCGCTGTCGGCCTCACGATTTCCAGCTGCCTTCTCAGGTCTACTTCTATAATGTGACGTTCTCCGTTCATGTTTACGTCTATGTATTCGTAATCTCCCTTGTTAGGGCAGCCCTCCTTCTTCTCCCACCTTGTTTTGCACAGACCTGCAATTATTCAATATAATTAAATGGCTACTTTTATAAGATTTTAAATAGCATATAGAGGCGTTTTGGAAAATTGTCCATGCAAGAATGGGCGAATGAAATGTTGGTTGAAAACACAATGTGGGGAAGACTAAGGAGTCGATAAACATGTGATTATTTCTATTTGAGCTTACTACTTGACCCTACTACTGTTCTAAAATTTGGGATTTCAACTTGAAAACTTGATTGTTATCTTTATATAATTAGCTAGTTTGTGTTTGATGGCTTAAAACGTTAAACAAAAATGTGTAATTATATTATTGCTCATTCGAGTTTAATTGACTTCCATAAGTATCTTCATGTTTAAAACATTAAACATAAATCCCTAATTACATACTACGTATATTCTAGCAAGTATCCCAAGTATTGTAAAACTTACCCACATTGGAGTTATATGTTAGTTTGTAGAGTTATACTTGATGGAAGTGTTGATAGCGGAATGCCGGAAACCATAGAACTAAAACTTCTTCCCTTAGATATGATTACTATGTAAATTTCTATTTTCAATAGAAAAATTCAATGGAAAACACTATATAACTGTATTTTCAATAAATACAGTTACATGATTATAGAAAAAGAAAATCATTAAATGAATCCAGAATGTCTAAAAAAACATGTTGGTGGGCCACATTAAACTTTCCAATAAAAAAGTCATGATAAACAGATGTGGTCATATGGATGACTAATCATATCCTTTAACAATAGTGATTTTTATTATAATAATAATAATAATAATAATAATAATAATAAGTGGTTTCTTCAACTTCAAAATATCTTCTTTAATTTCTTCAACTACCTCTTTTAATTTCTTAAATAAATGATGGTCAACTTTCCAGGTTTAACAATATATAATTATGATCATGAATATATTTTATTCTTTTTTAATAAAAAATCAGATTTTAAAAATTTAGAGTGAAAAAAATTTAATTATATATTTTTTAAAATAAAATTTTAATACACAAAGGAAAATAATCAAAATAAAATATGTGAATAGTGTAAAATTTCATAGGTTTTATTTATTTAAGAAAGAAGATAGTATATAGTTTAAGGCTATAAGGTATAGGTAGATTACCAGCATCCCAGCCCTGAACGCGCAACCGGGCAATCAACCGTCGTTTAAAATCCGGCGCAGAAAGATCCCCGGATTCCTGCCGGCGGGCCATTTCCACTTCCTCAAACAACCTCCTCTGGCCGACGCCAATCTCTCCATCCTCGTACCTTAACAGCCTCTCCAAAGCATCCTTAGCTTCCACGACGTCATCGCAGTAATTCTCGTCTTCCGGCTGACCCTCGTCGTCCCGGCCGCCTTCACCGCCCCACTCAACGCGCCCCTCCCACATGAACGAATTCACGAGGCCGGAGAAATCAACATCCGTCAAGCTTTCGGCGGCGGCGGAGTGCTCGCTGCCGCTGCTGCCGCATGGAGGCCGTGACTTTATTGTGAGAGCCGCCTCGTCGAAGGCTTCTGCCACCCTCTTGAACCTCGCCGGAACCATATTCGCCATATCAGATAGATACAGAGGTAGAGATCAAATGATATAGGAGTATAATATAGATATGGGGGAACCGGAAAAGCTGTGTAAAAATGGCGACAGGATGTTTACACCATTAGTGCAGTTCTTGATAGATCGGGGAAAATGAGGTCACTATGTTGAAAGGATTAGGATATGTAGTTATTGTTGGAAATGAAGTTATTTCTTTTTTAATGAAGTAGACTCCATATTTATATGTAATTATGTATGTGTGTACTCTGTGGTGATGGATGGTGGAGTACATTCAGTTTATTGACTTGAAAAGAACCTAGACATAATACTGAACCAAGTGCGTTCATGATTCATTCCATGATTTTAATAAATAAATTCTTTACTTTAACACCTGAGCAAATAGTGACAAAACTGAGAGTAGAACTCAGGCTGATATTTTATTAAAATCTTTACTTTAATGGACCCTGTTCGAAATTGAATATTCAAGCCCTTAAGTATAAAACAAAATACTGAATAACAAAATAATTGAAATTTATATTCAGTATTATATTTTATGTTTTTAATACTCAGACTGATATTTTTAACTCTAGAAGAAGCCAACGATCATTGCGTTCAGATTCGTAGAGAAGAAGTCGTTAGAAATTAGATTAGATTTAATTGTCTAAAGAATAAAGGTGCAAGACTAGGGTGATTCTTACCCTTTTCTCCCCAATTCTCCATATTCCTTTTTGTCCTAAAATTCGGCTGCAGATAAAATTTAAACAAAAAATTTACTCCATAAGTAATTGTGGTTTACTTACCCAACATTTTCACGTTAATCAAATTGTAGTTTCATGTCACGTTTTCATTCTAGTGGTATATGTATACACATATAGCACACGATTTTATTTGCATTTTGGAATTGGCTTTAATCCTACCTACAAATCTGCAATGCCGCAAATGAACAGAGCAAATATAACATTCGGCATAATAATCGATCAAATTATTGCACAAATACTTAACATACGGAGTATTAAAAATTAGGCACTCTCCTGATCTGGGCCCTGTTCGGCCGCACCTCCTAAACATGGTCAGGGCCGGCCCTGGTAGAACTACATACCCATTGAATTTTTAAAAGACTTGCTAGTTCTGTAAAGAAAATAAGTCATCAAATTTTTAAATAAGAGTAAATGAATACGGAGTACTACCTCCATCCCCCTATTTTTAAAAGACTTGTTCGGTTTACGATGTTTGACTGGTGATAAAGCAAATAGATCCCTGTCCGCACTAGAATTATTTTTTCGGGAAAAAATTTGCATATTCAGAAACGGCATTAAAAGTTTTACAAAGTCGCAAAAACCAGAATCAAATTTGATAAACAAAGTAAGAGATTAAGAGTGATTTGTGTTGATCAAGTAAATAGGAAATGAGACAATAACAAAGGGACGGAGGGAGTATTATTTTGAGGGAAAATAATGATCATCGTATTTAACGAAATGTGTTGCGTTTTAGTGCTATTTGGGATATTTTTATTTTTCATATTGCTAGCTTAATACTTTAAGGTTAGAGATTGGTTCGATTTTTATAAAAATGGGTGGAAGTGTTATAAAAACATAACTAGTAAAATCGCTCGGTTCGGTTTTTATATAAAAATTCAAGAACAGTTGTGGAACATAACAAAATAAATGTTGTTCGGCTCTTGCTTTTGAATAAATTTGAATACTTTGAGGTCATAATTATTACTACCTCCGTTCCTAAATAAGTGCAACATATGAAATTTTACATTATTCGCATGTTCTACTTTGACTACATTTTATTTATTGATGTATTTATATATTTTTTTGAAAAATATATTATTAAATTTGTCTCATTGTAAATTTTCAAAAACTAATTTTTTAAATTTTTTATTATTAGAAAATTATATATATTAATAGTCAAAGTTGTATCTCGACAAGTGTGAAATGTTGACTGTTGCACTTATTTAAGAACGGAGGAAGTATATTGATGAAAGTTAAAATACAGAGATTTAATTTACTTTGTGTACATAATAGAAGAGCATATTTAACATGTTCCCCGTAACTCTATTATATGTATTTGATAGTTTGGTATCTTTTTTTTCACCATTGTCTTGATTTTCTTCAATTATGGTGATCTACATTTTAAATCCAACTATGTTCATGGTGTTCTCTTATTTATACAAAAGTCGAAAAACATACGAGCACACCAGGGCGGAGACAAAGGGTTGGGTGGTCATCCAACCCTCCTAAAAATATGATAATGTAAAGCACTGCAATGTTTTGATTTGATATTTTATGACTTTCGTAACTCATTACGAATCAAAAATTATGACTCCTGAAAAATCAACACCATCTAAATTTGAAATAGATAAAAGTTGATTTGTAATATTAGTTATATTTCAAAATTATAAAAATAAAATATTATTCACATATATCAAACCAATAGCTTTCTAGGACTCATTTATTCCACCTACATATGAATTATTTAATTCAAATTTTGTCTCTATGTTAAATTTATTATTTTGTATACAAGTGGTATGAAATAAATACACTTTCGTACCACAATATGGTGTATACTCTATGATTTATTATCTTCGGGCCCATTTGGTAACCCCTTTTTCGGCTTATTAGACTTATCAGCCAGATTTTTCACTAAACACGTAAGTTTTGATTTCACGCGGTGAATTATGTACTAATAAGAAAAAGCAAGGTTGGAATTACTTTTCTGGTTGGATTGGTTGGAATTACTTTTCTGGTTGGATTGGTTGAAATTACTGTAGATGATCATTTTAGCTATTTTTCATACCCGGAGTATAATTTTATATTTTTTTTATTTATAACAAATATTTAAATGTAATTTTTTTTCATAAATCACCAGAATCGGCCAATACAGCTACTTTAGCCAGAACTTCATAAATTTCAGCAGAATCAGCCAATTCAGCCAATTTCAATGTTACCAAACGAACTCTTTCTCTTATTTTACTTTTTCCGTTCATTTCATTAAATTTTCTCATATCATATTTCATAAAATTTGAGTGATTATCATTCATTCTTTAATACTAACTAATTAACTTCACTTTTTTCTTAATAACTTTATATTTTTACCATAATTTTAAGGAGATGAAAAATAAGTCTAGGTGGTTAGATGTTTGACTCGAGTCCGAGGTGGGTCAACTTTCATATACCCAAGACAAAGTTAGTCAAACGGTGGGTGCGTTAGACTGTGGAGAATTGCAGCCGTTTTGGTATTATTGTTAATCTTGTTTTGCAGAATTAGTTTTTTTTTTATGAATTGTATGTCTAGGTTCGATGAACTTGTAGTTAACAACTCTGTCTATGTTCATTGAATCAAGGAAGTTTTTTTTTGTACAAAAAAAGGATGTTTTTTTTTTGTTTTTTGAATCAAGGAAGTTATATACGGAGTATAACTAATACCTTTGGATCATGGAGAGGCTTGCTGCTTCGTATGATCATAGTTGTATCACTATTTGGCAAGCTAAAAAGGTAGGAAGAGATATTATGAGCTTCTTTAACTTTATTTTCAAATTTTGAGTTTCATCAATAATTTTTTATAAAACACGTAATTTTTAGTTATATATACTAAATTGTGTAATAATCATAATAAGTAAAAGGTTGAAGTTATTTTTTGTGTTGAATTAACTGAAATCACTGTTGAGAATCATTTTGACTATTCTCATATAATTTTTTTATTATATTAATATAATTTATAATATTTTTTTCGCACAGATTAATATATTTAGCCGATTTTGCCAAATTTTCATCAAATTCAACAAATTCAACTTATTCAACTAATTTTATTGTCACTATAAATGATTCTATATTTGTTGGTGACGAATAATTGTGGGCCGTGGCTTGCACACATTTATGAATATATTTAAATAATTTTATTGTCACTATAAATGGTTCTATATTTGTTGGTGACGAATAATTGTGGCTTGCATACATTTACGAGTATATTTAAATTATAGCCTTATAGGTATAAAATACATAAAAGAATGAACACCATTATTGTGAAAGCATAAGCAAAGATTGAGGCTTCATATGATCATTGTACCACAAATTGGCATATTAATAATATTATACTCCGTAACACATTAAATTTTATTTGTTGATGAAATAACAATTGTGGATAACACATCATGTTGAGATTACGGAGTACCATTGTATCTTCTTCTTTTTTAAAATTATTTTACCTCAGAGGGGTTAGGGGGGAGGGGGGGGCTGGGGAGGAAATAATAGAATAAGGATATTTCTGTATTTTACATTATACACTTTTATTATAAATACATCTCTTAGGGGTCTTTAGTGGGTAACGGGTTCCATTCTCTCACATGGTATCAAGAGCATAGGACAAAATCTAGTTTTTTTGTCCTCCATGAACCCAGCTGTAATCGTCGTGTCTTCCTTCTCGATGGAATCATCCATCTCAACGAGCGCCATGACTTGCGTCATCATCGTTGCAGTTTCCTCTGGTGCCCCTACCTCTTCGAGATCGCAGCCCTTCAGCTCAACGGTTTGGTCGTTTATAACCTTCGCCCATGTCTTTGTATCGCCGACCAAGATCCAACTCTATATTTACTCTTCCAGAACCTTCTGTCTCTCTTCTGGTGTCCTGCACCATCCACTGTCCGGCCGGTTCCCCTGGAACCGCCCCCACTCTTCGCTGCATCATTCTTTGGCTCAGCCTTTGTTGGGTTGCCGCACATCTCTTCGTCGTTTGTCTCTCCACAGACAGGACCTGTCTCCACAGTTGGCTCTTCTATGGCAGATTTTGGTCAAACGCTGTCACATGTCTCCACTATTGGAAAATGTGTTTAAAATTGCATTAAATAGTCAGGTTGTGGCAATATTTTGAGTGGGGTCCACTTTTGATTTGGGTCGGTCAAAATGGTTTCGGATTCCACTTGTTAAGCGCTACAATTTGATATATGGTACACTCAAAACGGATAACGAGTGAATGAGAAATTGATTCTCAAAGTTCACTCGTTGGAACGGAAAAACTAGGGAAAAAGATTGGTTTCTAGTGTAATATTTCCCACACCTGAAAACCCAAAGAATTTTCAACCCCTTATAAAGGGAACCCTCTTTGAAGGTGTTAAGATTCTTAGGTAGAAAGGCTCTCTTCGCGCGCAGGGGGTGCCGATCAATCCCGAAAACGGAGAAGAAAATCCACAACTTGCGTGTGCGGGCGACCTGCGGACA